ATTTTGTTTCAAATTACTATTTAAAAGATTAGCTGCGGAGTTGTCTTTTATACACGACCTTGTAAGGCCTGTATCTTTTGTGGAGATACAGACAATTTATCAAATATATATGATTCAAACGCTTCATAAAAAATTACAAAATGTAGTTATATCTAATGTAAACTTGTTTATTACCAGTCCTTTAATTAAAGGGAAACTATTTTGCACACATCACTATTACATTATCAACTTTGGAGGAATTACTTCCCCTTTACGTTTTAAAATGTAGATGTCGGATTATGTAGATACTATGTTAACCACTGATATTGCTGTTGGGAGAGGACTTATATAGGCAATCAATTATGCCTACTCCTGTTTGACTTCATTTGTCAATAAAAAATGTCAAAAATGAAATTGAATTCACAACAGCAGTTCCTGTTTCTCTTGATTTTGTATCATCCACAGTTACTGTGACTTCATTTTCTGAAACCAATAATAACGAAGAAAATATATCATTCTCAATCAAAACTCGTGTATAAGCAGTCATATTGAGTCCTATTTAATACAGGCTTAATCCGCAATTTCAATTGTTTGCAAAGCCTACCATAAGGACTTTGTGCTTACTTGTCGTTGACATAATCAGACAACTGTGTCCATTTGAAGCTCCTGTTTATGTCTGCTTTATTCGCGTTAAGTCGAGGTGAATGAAAGAACCACGGAACAGGACATTGCATTACTATTCTGGGGGATCAACATGTATAAGTGTATAGCCATTTGCAAAATAATAGTTCTTTCAAACTGTTTGCCAGAAATTGGTTTGATTGTGATAGTATGGCATATTACCAGCCGATGTGGAGTGACAAATGTGTCCATTGACAACAGAGATATTCAAAAGCCAATCGGTATTACCACCACACTGTTAGATCATAATGTGCACAATGGAGCCGGACACATATTGATGGGGGGTTCCAACGTAGAAAATAGACAACAAAACGTGTGAATAACGAAATCAAAGTGGAGAACGTAAGCGTTGCGATATCGGCAACAAATATCCATTGTTTCTGTTAGCATCTCAAGCTTAAGGGCACACAAAACAAAACAGCGGATTTCTAAGTACTAACTTCTTCGCCTATTAAGACCATCCCTATCTACACAGTTGCCCCCTCCCCTCCCTTGTTACCCCGTGCGTTCACCAAACCGGCAAAGTTGTAAGATTCGTGTAAAACACATCACGTACAAGCATTTGAAATGTATCAACATAAAATGTAAGGATAAAACATTCCACAAAATGTTAAACTTTATGGTACAAAGTTATCGTCTGAGAACCGGAAAATATGATCTTATTAAATCCTTACAGTTATTGTCTTATATATATACACTCATGTATGTTCAATATATGTGATTCGTTTCAACAATATATCGAAAATGTAGACACAGATATTAAGTATGGGCCGCTAACAGTTTACTTAACAAGAGAGCATGGATATACATAAACTGTCTGAGATAAAAAGTTCACTTACCCGTAGAAGGCGAAGGACCGTGGACACGATCTTCTATGGTCGGCCAAGTATGTGTTGTAATTACAGTAACTCACCGAACTAGGATAACAATATGCAGATGACTCTTTTAAATGAAGTAATTCTTAGTATTCAACAACCACATCGATAGCGCTAGTAAAACGTAACAAAGAACTAATACAGTATTTCAGCGTAAATGTATTTTACGATAGTTTGGGTGTATGTCATTCATTAATTACACTTTTGATTTAAGTCGCAATTGCTAAAGTACCCACTAAATCACATTGATTAAGACCACACCTGAAAACATGTATTTTCTCGATGATTGTTACGACGGACACATCCAAAATGCACATTGCGGAAAATGTATTTCAAATCATCCGTCCTTAGTGTTAGATACACAAACTTACAGAGGTCATGGCTTGGAACGATTTACAGAACCAACCTCGGTGGTATCGTCCGAGGGCTTTTTACCTGTAAATGATTCTTTGTCGTTGAATTATTAATGTACAGATGACTTAATTTTCATGTAGTACAAAACAATCCAAACGTTAGCCCGGAGACCATCATCGTAAACGGAAGGACTGATAAATGGACAGGACGATTGAGTACCCCCTGTTTATTAACTCCGTAGGTGGGGTTCTAAGACTTTCACAGTGTTCTTAGTCATGGAAACTAACGTTTATATTGCGTGCGAGATTGCACGGGGGATCCTCCTATATTACTCTTATCTACAAACTAAACAAAGTAAATTTTGATATCGTCAACACTTATTCTTGTTACTTTTTATACTACTGCTATACTCTTTCCGGTATCGGTAAAACACAATAACTTTGTTAGAGATGAAAACATTTCAAGCGCTGTGATCGATATAATCATAAAACACATTGCAAACATTGTGTTTATGGAAATCGATCACAGCAGTGAGTCACAGTCAATAGTCATGTCGACCTTGAAATGTCATATTAACATAAAAAGTTGTAATAAAGCGGGACGAAAACATCTATTAAATGAACCCTATTCTAATGATATAACGTCTGTATTCTAAATAAGCACTTTTATTGAAGAGAAACTTTACGTATAAAACATAACCAATCTACATACCAGTTGAATTTGAACTTCTCAGCTGCTTGTTGTCAAGAAACATATGAGCAGCGACCTCCCTCTTTTTCCTGAATGCTGGTATAGCCGATGTTGAAGGTCCATGGCCCGACCCTCCTACATATCCAGCAACCGCTCCAACAGCTGAAACGTATAAATATGTTATTATTTCACACCAACACAGTGTTTTGTTCTAACAACAACCACCAGTCACAGTGGTTTGTTAATAATCGTTTCAATGTATCATCTTACCATATCATTTATATACATGTACACATGTAAGTACCATTAAGCACTCCTATCTGAAGTTTTGAATATTGCTGTTCTGTTTGTATCTAGTCATTAACAAAATGATATCCACAATCAAAGACTCAGCACACGTTGGTATTTGTTGTTTTGTATCAATGTTGTTTCTTCAATAAATCCGAATTCTACTCAAAGGGCGCTATATTTCTTTTGAAAATTACCGTACAATTGTTAAAAGCTATTAATCGGAAAACTTTTACATGCACAAGATACAACATGCAGACGAATCCCTATCCGACCACTGACCACGTTCGGTATAGCTAAACCAGCGCCCTTGGTCTTAGCGCGTCGCTAGAAAACCTAGTGTGCCAGAAAAGCAATATTTCTCCCTCCTTTTCTTTGGCTGTTACATTGTCCCTCTGCAAAGAAGTCTCGTCTCGAGACTTGGATAGTAGATATCTAGTTGGTGTTCCCTGTGTAACAATGTATACTCCCTAGCCACTGAGGACTGGCCTGATATGGTGCAATGTCCATACGCCACAGGGTCACGACGCTGCCATCAAAAGTAAGCTAGCTTGCCAGGAGGATAATTGTTCTCCTTCATATCCCTTGCTTGTTCAACTTTGTTCTCCTCCGAGAAGGCTGTACTCGGGAATGGGCCTGGGGAATCCCACGGGTCTCCTGTGTACCAAGGCATTTTCACTTTTTAGCTTGCCGGAAAGGCACTATTTCTCCTTTATACTCCTTGGTTGTTACAACTTTAACGTAAATATATCAATTCTGAAAACAAACTGATACCTTGTCGAGCTTTTTATAGCAAAATCATTATTTAAAGACTTCCGAAGCTGATAGATGTGAACCTTGAACCTCCGACCAATTCTCGGTCGCAGTAGCTAACTAAGCTACGTTAATAGTGGCAGATTCATTGTCCAGTCTAAATACAAAATGAAAGGTCAGGGAGGTAACCGTATGTAAATTGTACGATAAACGTTCAGTGAGACAGAGGTCTTTAAATATGTAAATCTGTCTTTATATTATCTTAATCTAATACATAACATGTGAACTATTGTTTATAAAGCAGATAGTACACCAATTCCCTTGTTTATACTTGTGTTCATTTAACAGTTGAATTCTGTGAGAAGATGTTATTAAAGAAAATAGTTCAATTTTGCAATAAATCCGCAAACAATGCCAAATGATGGACGACTTTCAAACAAAAAAATATATATAATAAAAGCAAATCTAACGCCTTAACTTCAAACTATATCTTTTCCTTCTAATTTCAACACTATTTATTGACAAAAATCAACTGAATTGGATATTAGGCAACTCTATCTTCAGCAACATCCAACGCTGAGAGTATTATGTATACCTTTGAGATATTGACATTTTAGATAAATAAGGGGGAAGTTACTCCTCCAAAGTAGAAAAAATGAAAATGTTGTGTGAAGATTGTCTCCCTTCCATCGGTTTTACTTTATCTAAAAGTCAATTCCACAACAAATAGATACTTTGTCTATTGTTAAGGTCACACCAACTCTTGAATATATTGAGACTGTTTGTACACTTTCAAAGGCAGGATTTCCTTCTATAAGTTTGAATGGTAATATGAAATAGGTTATGCCCAAAGTTAAAGTACATACATGTACACAATTTAGATATGTACACAAGTTAATTTATGCTCGTTAGGTAATACAATAAAGAAATATAAATACTAATAAATTATATTTTAATTGTGTATGTATCTTCCATATCACAAGAGCAAGCTAGTAGAAATCTAATTATTAATTTAAAAACATAATATGTGTAAACATAAAATTATGTTTAAAATATTTAGTTTAATCATTGTCGTTTGTATCACAGGTCGCCTAAATATGTGGTATCAATATGCAATTTTATCAATCTATAAGCAGAAACCTTTATCATATTCATTCTATTTATATCAAGTATACACTCGCGGAAATATGGAATTGTTTATGCTTCCCTTAAAATACTGGATATACCGTACAGGTGTGTGAAGATTGTGAAATTGTTTCTATAACAAAACTGTAGCTTTGCTTCTGCTTCTGAGATATTTGAAATATATAGATATATTTGATTTATCTCAATCCTATTTTACCTTCGCTTGGGTCCTCTGTGTTGGTCGAGTTGTTTGCCTCTGGACCTTGATAGTCCGTAGCTGAACTGTCCACGACGTTCCTATAGTACTCGTTGATGATCTGTCATGTGAAAAAGTGTTGACTAGCAATAGCAAAGATATAGATCCTACTAAGCAATAAAAATATCAAGAATCAGAAAAAATATATAATAATCGGCTTTGACCACATTTATTAAATTGAATGTATGTAAATTGAATATTCTAAACTTGATATTAAATACAAAACAGTTATGACATATACATGCCACTGCTAGTTACATGTAAGTACATAACTTTTAACTTAAACTATACTAAAAATTATATTACAATGTGTTTGTATTTGCTATGTTATAACAATAACTCTGGTGTAATTGGGAAGGATGGCACTGTGTATAGTGACAGTGTCTTTGAAGTGCCTCCAACCAAACACTAGGCTATTAATAATTGAAGTAAATATACTATATTAATTGAAATGGTAACATCTATGATATTCTAGTTACATGCATTTTTTTCTGTGAACAAGTATTAAATGGTTCTAGTATTCTCCTATTAATTCGAACATATACTACATCTTCTCTATAATACTCTCTCTCTCTATATATATATGTATATATGAATGTATGAAATGTGTGTATTTTCTCTGGAAAGGGCTTTTATAGGCAATGCCTGTGCCTAATCCAATTGTGGGTTTTTTAATACAATAAAATTGATTTGAAATGAAAAAGTGTAAGTACATACTAATTGATGCAATTATATCAAATCTGAAATTGTGTATATATGGTTCAATGTAACTCATTATAATACAACGGAGAGAACATACATGTTTTCCAGTTTGATTATTCGCTAAGTCAACATATATATCAGGAAATGGTTTTTATTAAACATCCATGTAAACATATGAAATACACACGAAAAAAATCCGATAGAAGTATTTGAAAATCTAAATTTTTCAAGTAGAACTGGTGATAATCGGAGATAAATGGGCAACTGCTCAGTTACTCAGAGACAAGACCAGAGCAGCCATTTTCTGTTTCGATTTTGCTCAAAAAATAACAACACGGGATAAGGTTCTTCTGATGTTGCTAATTCCGTCACATGTTGTGTTTTAACATACACATCCTAATGACGTTACTGCGCTCTGTGAAAACGTCAATGTTGACACATTATAATGCACATTTAAGCTTATTCAGCGTAACTAAGAATTGGAATGATTTACGTAGCATAAAAACCTGGAAAGAAAATATTGTTCCTGACAATATTGATTTTTATATGCAAATATGTTTGGTATATCAGCCGCTAATTTCATGGCAAGAATGCACAAAGAATACTCATCTTTTTCACTCGTAGTTGCAATTTAAGATATGTTTACTTCCCTGAAAGGAAGTGTTAATCATGGAGACTTAAAGTTATACAATATGTATGTACACCAAACCTTAATGCTGTACTTCATTGTCACTTAACAGATAACAGAGGGGGAAGATACAAACATGTTTTGTTCATTTTCAATTTAGTGACAGCTGTCAGTGACAATTATCACGTTATCTGTGTTAGTTTTGCTAATAGATAGCTATCGACCCCATGTTTCTAAATGGGTCTTGCACGTGACCATAAACGTGTACCTCATGTTTCTAAATACATGATGTTAATGTACAATAACAAACTTGAACTTAGTATCTGATGTTTACTTTTGTATATTTTGTTAATCTCTATCAATATACAGGTAGTTCACGTAATGACTTAATTATACATATATGCATATTTGTTTCATTTTTGTTGGACAGTTTTTTTATTCTTTTGCTTAAATATGTCTTTGTACTTTATTTTCTACATTAATGTAAAAAGTTTTATTTTGAGAAAAAAAACCTTGGGAATATGTCAGTTAATTCTCACTTTCACTTTTTCATCTTATGTTATTTATTTACAAAATACGATATATATAAACGTAGGTCTATCGGTCGATATCACTCTATCAGGTTCAAATAAAAATGTATTGACATCAGCAAAAATAAATAATTTATAAATATTGTTGACCAATTTGAACCGAAAAATTAAATGACCTATATTTTAACCCTCAGTACATTTTAATGAAATGTATGCCACACTTCGGTACTTTGTCTACTATAGTTACAGGATTTTTTAAAAGCTGGTTATATAGGCCATGTCTGATAGAATATCAGTACTCTTCTCTTTATGTCTTGCAATTTAACATGTGTATAGGGTTTGGATCTCAACAGTTTTAAAATTTTGTCAGCAAAAATGGCCAAAATGATTGATAATACCTATATACAGCGGAGAGGTCGCTTAAGCCCCACCACCTTAGAATGTTTTCAATTTAATAATGTTGATATTAACCTCACAGTGTCAGAGGAGAGGTATGGCTGAATTGCTCGCTTTTTGCCCGGCCCCACCAATTTTCGCTGTTCAATAAAAAGACGGACAGACGACACAGGTACGGCCTAAGCTCACTTTGGTTCAGCGGACCGGGGAAGATTAGATAAAGTAACTTCATTTAAAGTCGGCAAGTCGCAGAATAAACAAATGTACAAGCTCTAATGAGCTTTTGAGACAAACATTAACATATATACATGCATAAACATACCGGGCTGGATAAAAAAAGTGTTAAACACCCCAGCATCCGGGTGCATACGCTTTGCTTAGCGCCGTTTCGCCATACTGTATGCAAATTAATAGATGTTCAATTTTATTTAATTTAGGTAACTAAATAAACACTACACGGTTATTCATACGATTCGGTCGTATTCGTTTTCCCGCTTCAGACGAAAACCGGTTTTTTGTTTTCATCGATGTAAAACGTACAATAATTAATATGAGACGATGATTGGTCAGAACGAAAAGCTGCAACTAGCAGCTGTGCACCGAACAACCATTTATATTTACATTTGCACTGCATAGGGCCTAGATAACTCTACTGGTCCCATTGTAACATATTTTCCAATGAACTACAACGGGGATTAGGTCAGTGTAGTGATACACTAACCTAATTACCGCCAAGTGGCGATGTTCCGCTGTGTTGTGTCTTAAAATGTTATTGTATGACAGTTAAATCGCTAAATGACCACAACATATATAAAAATGGTCACATGTTAGTATACAAATTGGTAATTGACATATATGCATTTAAATAAAAAAAATATATTATTAAATTGATGTGTTTACTGTGGAACTTTCTTGTTCATTGTTTTTGTCGGCCTGGTTGCCCTTGACAACGACTGTGGAATGCGAAACTACCCGGCTGTTCCGAACAATTTACCGCTGACCCAGTCAATGTGTATAAGAGTTTTAAAACAGCAATTAACAATACTCGCAACATTGCACTACTAATATTGTTAGTTTGGAATATAAATATAAGTATTGGTTGTCATATTTTTGACGTAAAATACACGCCAATAAACGTCAAAAATATGACAACCAATCCTTAAACAAACAGCATCTGTTCGCAATCGACAATTACAATAGTCTCGCATGCTATGCATGTTTTAATGCCTTTTATAGAGTGTGTGACACATGATTTCCTGGAACTATGCAGCAATATTGATTTAATCTAAATAATGTAGTATTTCCATATTTCTGTTATCGTCGACAACTGGAAATTCACATCGATAAGATTACATGTAGGATTAATTGTTAGTGACAAAGCAACATTAATGATAATTTAGTTATTTACCTTGGTTGGTATGTTGCCATCTTTGTTGGAAAGCGTCCATGTATGCTTTAACCGATATTTTATGGCAGATCGCCAAAGTAAATAAAGGGATTTAAATCAAAGTACATACAACATGAAAAGTATGTTGTACAATTTATTTAAAATACTCTTTGGAAATATAAGACAACATCTATGTTAAGTAAGTTATGTTTCAAATAATTATATCATTGTTGGATGGAATTAACAAACGTCCAGTATTTTTGGAGATTTGTTTCACCACTAGTATGCAGTATTAGGTTGAATTAAGTTTGATAACAGCAAGTTCTTTTTAGAAAAATGATGACTATACTAAGTCTCGGTATATTTAGTGTTACGTAATACAAGTTTGTAGCTATCGTAGTCTGTATAGCAGACGACCAGTTTTAAATTTACTACATTGCTGTCACGTAGTAGCTGTTTATGTGTACACACATATATATATATCAATTACAGTAGATGTTATATATAGCACGAAAGCGGACACGTAATCTATTCAAATCGGCCGCCGTGTGTTTACATGTAACACAAGCGCCATTTTAAGATAAAGTACATGTAAAAAGACCTGCATCAGATAACAAACGTTAGTCCTATACGTACCAACAGGAACAACTTTTTCAAATTCCCTACGTCTTCCATGCAGCACATATTTGTTTTTTTGTCCAGTTTGATAATGTTCCCCGTGTCATTATTTGTGATGTTCCTTCCAACTTCAGCACAAGGGAAACACAGAGAGTTTATAGGTTCGGGGTCGGTAACATTGTTTTCCTCATTGACATGTTGTATGGACAGTACCGTCGGCGGCGTCCCTGCGTTCGTTTCATTTTGTGGACGTTGACAGTCATCAGGCCGTGTTAGTATGTTGCAGATGACGATAAATTCAACTGTTGTAACAACAATCAGAACAGCAGTACACAGTTTGTATCTTTGTTTGTTGCAATGAAGGCTTATTTTTCCATGATTGCTGTTCATAGGATCATATCTAATGTCTTGATCCGAATGATATTTAAACTCGTGTCGTGGAATCATTGTTGTTCAATTGTGACAAACATATGCATTATAACACCAAGTACACTGCCTAACGACCATCACATACACTGGCTCACAACAACTAATGAACTTGCACAGGTTGTTAGACATTGTTCCTTGATTAGGTGTTTCCCCATATATAGTTTCAGAATACATAAATAGTTACACGTCACAATCGCACTGGCTGTTGAGCATCTAATGTATTTTTGTTAAAGTTTTACCCAATTTTACTGATAAAATGTATAATTCATTTTTATTATTTTACTGAAACGAAGTTTTGGCATCCATCTACGGTTTTTAATTAGGGATCGACAGGTAGCCACACATAGCTTTGCTCAATCACTATTGAGAATTTGTACGCAAGCACAACCTCATAATATAGTGAATTTTTATATTTGTTATGATATTGTCTATTAAAGACCTGTACATAGTTGTGTTCATATGTGATATTACTAGTCAGTTTACCTGTTCATTGTAGATTTGATCATACCTGTATATCGGGTGCGCAGTGTTAACGTGTGTACTGTTTTAGTTTCACAAGATCAAGGCAATAGATAACATATAACTTTAGTAGACTCTACCATGCATTGATATGGATGAGTCCATTATGGTCTACAGTGGTGAAAGGGTTAACATATATTAATTAACCTAGTTTTTTCTTGTGAAACCAATTTCTATTATAAATACTTATCACAGTCATTATAATGCATATTTCAACCCTACTTGGCCCCTTACATAGGTAAAATAAAGCACATAGCCCTCAACTTACGGCATATTATCGTGAGACCAGATGAGGTGTTTTCCAAGTATGCTATAAATAGAAAGGGCATTACTAAGAACAAGTTTTCCTATATAAGTGTATTGTTGGAGAGAAATCGTCTGCTGTGAAAGACACCACTTCTGATGCACAAAGAATAGGACAAATTATTTACTTATTTTATTGGCGCTTTAAAGATTTACATATAATAATTGAAAAAAGATTGAAAGCATTCAAACAACGTTTGATTTGAAAAACAAAGTTCATACATCTACACTCAACAGTGGCATGAAACGACTTGGAACTCTAAATGTAGTCAATGTTGTTTTTTATATAATCCATAGACTCATCAGCTAAAATAATCTTTTGTTTGAATTATGGAATTGACTTATACAGATGTCAAACTTGTTCATCCCGAATAGTTCTTTCAAGACGACAAAATGAAATATTTCCATCACTGGCCTCCTCAAATGCAACAGCATCCCGCCGACTTGGCAGCGAAAACTATCTGAAACTCTGACAAGGTATTATGATTTTACTGCGGTGTACTGTTGTCGCAGTGGTCACAATATCATAAACCTGTAGTGCGGCATAAACATTTTCGTTGGACTGTATGTTTTTGAAAATCATCGGATGAAAAAGAAGAAAGAGTGTGACGATGTGAAGTTAAATGATATGTAGAAAGGAATGCTGCATACTTTATCTCTATGACAGCTGAAAACGCAAAGTTACATCGTAAATATTTCGAATTTAAAATTTGTTGTTCTGTTTGAACAAAAGGTAACCATGTATATTTCGCTTCTGCTCTCTCTAACATAGACAATGATTATCATGTATCCAAATAGGACTCATCGAATATTGCCGTACTCGGAATATGTATATGATGATTACAATCCTATTTGTGAGATCATGAAAACTTGTTGCATTTGTTTTAATGTATTGCATGTAAGTAATATCTACATACTTTAAAATGCTGAATCTAATAAGATTAGATTATATATAACGAATTGTGTTATACATGTACACTTACTGCTTTGGTCACCTTGTTTTGTTGATCCATTCGTTTCGTAATTCGAGTGTTATGGATTTTTTTCAATTACGGCATCTGTGACATTTTCAGAAAGCAAGTGTCAAGGTTAACGTAAAGTAACACTGGATTTCTGAAACATGACATGCGCCAGATTTGCTGTCCAGAGGCATGGATTGCTGTGTTGATGAAATTGGAGTTGTATCGGTATTCTTGTTCGTAGATATTCGAAAAGAATATACATTGATTTTGTATGGCGACTCATCAAAACAAGAAACTTCTGTACGTGTCTAAATCTTGTCAGATGTCAGTTAGGAAAACATAAAACTATCCCCTTAACAAAACTATATAACTATATCATATGTACGAGTATGTATATGTAGGATGGAAATGTCTTACCGAGGGTGTACATTTTTGTGCAAAATTCGAGGCTTGCAGATGTATTTGAAACCAAATTTTGTATCGAAGGATTGTGCATCTTAAACCAACATAATTTACATACATGTATGACATAAATATTTTCTTACATCATGTAGCCGCCATCTTGTTGCAAAATACCAACTCTTAAATGCTTAAATGATTTGAAAATTAAATATACCATTGAAAAACGAGTACCACAGTTTGGTTTAAACAAACCGTATACACTTTAGAGATTATCAGACTGCAATAAATGAGGATAGATTTCTTGAAGTGGAAAATAAAATCAAGCCAAATATCTTGAAATGACTTCATTGCAGCGGGATGACGTCATCTTATTGTCTTTGCAATGTGACGCCATGTTATTGTAAGACAGATTTTTCTTGTTCCTCCGACAGGGATATCCCACATGATACCCTGTTGTAGAATTTCTATCGCGTCGGATCTATCCGGAACATTTAAATAACAATTTCGCGGATTTTTTTCACAGTTATGTATTGATCCGCGTGTAATGCAAGTGATACACTCGTACATATTTTGTAAATTCTGTTTTGTTGTTATATGTAGGTTTTTTTTACGTTTTAAAGATAGATAATGTTGTAAATGAAATCATAATCTGCACTGTAAAATTTGTTTTTTCTTGTTAGGACGGACATCTTTGTTACCTAAGAAATATTCAGACGTAACTAAAGAAGTGAAGAGGCCATATTTATTTGCACGGGGCGGGATTCTTGTAGAATAAAGCAAAATTCAGTAGTTTAACGAACTAACGAACGAGAAATAGAACCAAACGTCCGTAACTAAACAAAAATGGGTTATCTCTGTCTTTGGCTAAAATTATGTACTATAAAGTATTGCCCCTCAACTGAGATGACTCGATCTCCCTCGGTTACAGGATAAATGACATCAACATAGAATTTAGAATAACTAATGAGATAAAAAGTGTATTAAACATCCCCGAGATAAACAGATTCATAAAATGATAAACACAAGTATTGAAGGCAATTCAATGTTTAAGTGTATGTTTTGATCGTTGAAGGAGGTCGGACAGTTTTTAAATATTGTCGTAAAATTTCAATGAAAGCATAACGATGACGAACATTGGATAAACAAAAATCATTATTAAACACAAACAATTTCATAAAAGCTCATATCTTTCAAATTCTCCTTCGTATAACCGTTTATATTATTATAACGAGATTGTAATATTGTTTTCAAAAATACCATAACAAATAGTGGCAATGTAATGTACTTTTAATAAAAACGAACAAGAAACACTGTTATTTAAACACTGTTTTAAGTAAACGTCAAGCAAAATTAAGTAGATGATATATAAACATACATCAGACACACAGTAACATCGAAGAGACTTTCCTTCAGTATATATGAATAACAAATAACAAATTCAAAACCTGGGTTCCGCAACTTTTATCATACAAAACAACAATATGCTTGAATAAAAACACTACTTTGCCATTTACAGAATTAAAAGAGCCAGTATAAAATATGAAATATTAAAATGCAAATAACAGTGCTGCATTATAAATAAAGGTATGTCTTACTCATATTTCTGTTATGAAGTTAAAATTGGCACACTTTTAGATATAACGAAAGCAAAATAGGAAACAAGTTTGTTTTAATTGGGAATCACAATTCACAACTTTCTCTTCTGAATTCACCACCACTGTGTCCATGTTAGATCTCATACAAAGTTTACATCTAATTGTATACATTTCATTGTTACATATATAAGGCACTACAGCGCAGACAATATATATTTAAAATTAGCACACTTTTGGGTTTAAGGTTTCAAGGTAAGCTAAATATTGGTAGCCCCACATTTAAGTGCATTAGTTCATACCTGAAAACACATCCTGATTACGTCACACTAAACAGGGTCGAGTGAATACACACTCACACATGATATATAGCGTCACCATGCCCAATACACAAAATAGACAGTGTGCACAAGTGTTAAACAATTAATTCCATGATAACAACATATATTACCACTGGATCTCGGATATTGCTATCATAATCAACATTTTGTTCCATCATTTTGTAATACACATGAAGTATTTAGTATAAAAGTACAACTGTCTCATCGGTAAATATCTTCTGTATTCACCACCACTGTGTCCGTGTTAGATCTAATACAAAGTTTACATCTAATTGTGTACATTTCATTGATACATATATAAGGCACTGCAGCGCAGACAATATATATTTAAAATTAGCACACTTTTGGGTTTAAGGTTTCAAGGTAAGCTAAATATTGGTAGCCCCACATTTTAGTGCATTAGTTCATACCTGAAAACACATCCTGATTACGTCACACTAAACAGGGTCGAGTGAATACACACTCACACATGATATATAGCGTCACCATGCCCAATACACAAAATAGACAGTGTGCACAAGTGTTAAACAATTAATTCCATGATAACAACATATATTACCACTGGATCTCGGATATTGCTATCATAATCAACATTTTGTTCCATCATTTTGTAATACACATGAAGTATTTAGTATAAAAGTACAACTGTCTCATCGGTAAATATCTTCTGTATTCACCACCACTGTGTCCGTGTTAGATCTAATACAAAGTTTACATCTAATTGTATACATTTCATTGATACATATATAAGGCACTGCAGCGCAGACAATATATATTTAAAACTATTACGTATATATACATATACTATCATTTAGTTACAATGTCCATAGTGATTTAAAAAAGAATCGTTTGCTTTTGATAAAATAACTTTTTATATATAGAAACGCTAAAATGTTAAAGTATTAAAACAAATTAAAAAGTAGCAAGGAAGGAACAGTGGGCTACCAAAATTAAAATATATCACCCATCCCTATAAAACCGAACCCGAAAGCAAGTTCACACTTAGTATCAAACACTAAAGTTATT